TTTACAAAAATGTAATAACCCAAGAATCAACATGCTGTAATATTTAAGCCCACTGCTGCTATCGATCTGATATTTGTTCTGATATTTACTGAGTTCTCTTTAGTTCTTCATGTTCTGGTTCCTCAGAGCTGCAGGACTTCATGTTGCAGAGAAACATGAACCTCAGTGAAGAAACATTCACAAATCAAACTACTGACAACCTGCTCAGAGTTCAGAGGTTACCGCTAACACCTGACCGATGCCTCCTGCAGCTCTACAGCGTGGTTCTGACCCGACATCATGTTCGTGGCTCTACAGCAGAATTAGTTCTGATTGATGTGAAACTCGTTAAACTCTGCTGCAGGTATTCAAAGACGCTCCGTAGTGCTAATTTCCTCTCATGTTTAATGACGTGAAACAAATTCACGATGTGTAATTAAAGCCAGACAAAGACGGAGCAGCGTCTGTGTGTGATGACGCGGTGCTGGGAACACTGGGAACACTGGGAACACTGGGAACCTCCCAGTAAACCAGCAGGCAGGGGGAGTGTGACAACAAAGAGCAGGGGCCTCCGAAGGCTTTTATTGTGGTGGGGGAGGAGGAAGAGGAGGGGAAAGGGGCGGAGCTACCTGCTCAGAGAGTCAACAGGTGATGATGTGACACACCTGAACTCTGAGCTGGGTTCTGACCCGAACTGGAACCAACAGCCAGAGGTTCTGGTTCCTCCACCGCAAAACAACATTTTATTTATTACAGACAGAAAAACTAGAGACGGACGATAAATGATCAGAATGACTGAACCTTTATTAAATTACATTATTACAGTAAAAGGCTGAAATTCAGTCTGGATCCAGAATTAGAGACCACATCAAGAGTCCACATCTAGAGTCCACATCTAGAGTCCAAACGATAGAGTCCAGGGTCCTTGGTCTAGAGTCCAGATCCACGGTCAGAGTCCAGGGTCCAGAGTCAGGGTCGGTGATGGTTCTGAGCCCTTTTCACTCAACCAGCTTCCTGTTTGGTCTCTGATCCGCCGCTGATCAGAAATATTGATCAGAGGAGCTTTGATCTCTGATCCTGGACTCCGAGGCTGAAGAACAACCAGACTCTACCTGCTGTGTGTGTGTGTGTGTGTGTGTGTGTGTGTGTGTGTGTGTTGTAGTTGTGCGTCTGTGCTGCGTCCCTGTTCAGCAGCAGTCTCGGTGCCACCGGGCCTCCTGACCCGTTGCCTCCCTCACCGCTCGCTGCCGTCTGGGGTGCAGGTAATAAGCGTTGCTATGGCAACCGGCTGCAGCTCATCACAGAGGGGATGTTTCTAGTGTCTCCCCTCCACCCACCACCACCATCCACCCATCCCCGATGCTGCCATTACTACCACTGGGCAGGAGGAGGAGGAGGAGGAAGGTGTGAGAGGAAGGAGGATGCTGATTGGCTGCAGGAGACAAAGGAGGAAGACGAGGAAGACGACGGGAGGCTTCATCGATCCGTCCACAGCTTCTGGAATCTGCTCCAGCAGCTGATCCGCCGCTAACTTTTTTATCGTAAACTCTGGACGATTAACAAGTGGAATTTGATCAAATATTTCCTGATGAACATGTTTTAAAATCACCTTCAGCAGGTTTGTTCTGAAATCTGAGGCTGTTTGAACGACGACGTCTGAGGAAATATTCAAGATAAAACCTGGAATGTTCACAGTTGTTTCACTACAATTAGTTTTATTCCACCGCTGTGTGTAAAGTATCGATAGCTAGATGCTAAATGCTAATATAAATAAAACTAAATAACAATAATAATAGAGTGTTGTTTATAGTTACATTCTATGTTTATTGTCTATTGTTTATTGAATAATAACAGAATATTGGAGCGACCAAACCTTCATGTCTCCAGCGTGGAGGACCTTCAAACACCTCCCAACACCTTCTAACACCTTCTAACACCTTCCAACACCTCTGTAGCTTCCATCTGTCTCCAGCTGATCTTCTGCGAGCAGAACAAACGTCTCCTCAGAGCCTTGTTTTGTTCCTGACCCTCCATCGTGTTTCCTGTTTGCGTGTTTGCAGCGTGCCGGCCGGCGGTGACCCTTTGTGGCGCATCAGGGCCACCGTACGACATCGCTGCAGGACAGACACACAACAGGAACACACAAAGAGCTGAGAGGACACGTTTGTCCTCCGCTGTCTGCTGCTGATGCTGCTGCTGCTCGACCAAACAACCGACACCAGAGCAGCAGCATCATCATCCACACGACAGTAACACGGAATAAAAGCATAAATGTGGAGCTCAGAGGGAATCCTTGTTTCTGTCGACTCGTCACAATAACCTCCACTGTTAACGAGTCTTTGCATTAGCGAGGTTAAATGCTCTCATTTATAATCCCGAAGGTAAAAAACGACATTATTCAGATTATTCTCCATAATTAATATCACTGGAGGCTCTGAATGTGTGCTGCAGTCAGTTAAAGGAGCATTTCACATCATTCATGTGGAGTTTTAATCCCTCACATGGAAACGACTCCACCAGAAATAACAGTTATTAACTATTTAAAAAATAAT